GTTTTGGACGCTCTGACCGCTCCCCGCCCCTCCTGTCCAGGTCAGTGGGGAGGGGGTAGGGGGAGGGGTAAACCTCTCCCCGAAGGGGAAGAGGGAGGGGTGGAAGAGGAAACGCCCTAAACCACCGACGCCCAGAGGGCTGGCGGTCCCTGTCAAAAAACAGTGTGCGAGCGTCGAGGGGCACACTTGATTGAGAAAAAAGTATGCACCGGTGAGTGGGGATCAACAATAATTATTCTTCAGAAATGAAAACTCAACAACAACACCAACAACAACAACAACAACAATCATTTTACCCGAACGCTCAGTGTTCTCCCCAGTGCCAGGGTTTTCTTGCGACACCAGCCAATACCCCCACTTCGTGGGGGGGCCGTTCAAGCTCTACCAAATATCCAAACGACTCTTCGAGACCACCCACACCCAGCTTCCCGCCCTATGACGTTGGGACACTTCACTTCGTGGCGTGCGGACGACCCTGGCTACTACACTGGCGTGGGGTACACACCCACAGAGGTTGATCACATCTGTTACATATGATGTGGTACACGGTACACGTGAGATGGTACGCAGTGCCAAGATAGTTGGTCACATTTTTGGGGCAAATTCGTGGGGATGCGATTACAGAAGTACATGTGTTACACTGATGTTATACAGTCCCAAGGATGACGCATGCATTGCTCATAGACTCATGGCGCTATGATCCTAACTCTCAGTGCCCAACGCGCGCGTGCACAGCCAGACGGAGGGAGAGAAACACATGTATACAAGGTTCGTGACATACGCACGTTCCACCATGTTGTAAACGACAAGAGCGCGGAAGGACATTTTGAATCCGCAAGAGCGCGCGGAAGGACATTTTGACAATTTTTTCTTAAAAAACCATTGGGTTTTTGATGTTTTTATGTTAAAATCGCTACGAAACCTAAGGTTTTGGAAGGATTTCGTCTTGCGAGCGCGAATGTCCACTTTACCTTATTTTTTGCAAGGGATTCTTGAAATTTGATCAACTAAGAACAAGAATTTTCATTTTCTATTGTTTTTTGCAAGGGAAAACGAGCGTCAACAAAAAACCGGATCCGGGGGTAATCCACTTTTCTGAAGCTTTCGCAGAAAAATGATGAGAATGTAGCTGCGGCCTAGGTTTTGGGCGGGGGGCGTGCACCAGGGGGTCCAACAATAATAATTCTTTAGAAGTAATAGTGTTCAACAACAGCAACGACAACAACAACAACAACAACAACAACAACAACAACAACAACAGCAACAACAACAACAACAACACCACCACCACCACCACCGCCACCACCACCACCCCAACAACAACAACAACAACAATAATAATATTAAACTGTTCGCCCTTTATATGCTCGAGTGTCCAATGACGCGTATTTCCCAAAGCCTCGATACCCCGCTCGACCCCCTTTTCGGGGGTATACCTTTCTTCCCTGCAGGCCGGGCCCGGCAAGCGGCGGGGCGGCCGCGGACCGTCGGCCTGGCCAGCGGCAGTGCTGATCGGCGGGGCGGCCGCGGACCGTCGACCCGACCCCACGAGGGACGGACAGGGGACCGACCACGACGACGACGACAACGACGACGACGACGTCGAAGACGACGGCGACGACGACGGCGACGACGAGCGAAAGCGAGAGCGAGTGAGAATCACAGCAGGGGCACGAAGGGCACGAAGTAGGCCACGAAGGGCGACAGCGGGGACACGAAGGGAATGCGTATGGGGCCACGAAGAGCGCGAACGACCGGGGGCCACGAAGTGCAGATAATGCGGGGCCACAGAAGGCAACAATGGGGCCACTGAGGGTAGCAACTGGGCCACGTAGGACAGTGAGGGGGACACAAATGGCGACAGCGGGGCCACGAAGGGCATGCACATGGGGCCACAACGGGCGCGACTCCTGGGTGCCTGGGTGTCGGGAGCGCGGCGCTTGGGCAAATTGCAGGAAATTCCAACGCAAGGCCATTCTTCAGTAAGTTGCAAGCAAGTCTCCAGCGAGAGCGCGACTCCAGAGCGCCGGGAGAGCGATTCCTGAATAAATTGTAAGGAAGTCCCAAGCGAGAGCGCGATTCCTGAATAACATGCGAGGAAGTCTCGGGCGGGAGCGGGGGTCCTGGCTCAATTGTAACGAAGTCTCAGGCGGGAGCCGTGATTGTTGTAACCCGGGGGCCAGGGGCTCAGTTTGAGCAGGAAGACTTTCCCCTGTCAAAAACAGGGTGCGAGCGTCGAGGGGCACACTTTGATTGAGAAAAACAATATGCACCGGTGGGGGGGATCAAGAATATTTTTTCTGCAGGAATGAGAATTCAATAACATCAACAGCAGCAACAACAGCAACAACAGCAACAACAACAATCATTATAATAATGTTCGCTTTTACACGCCCGCGTGTCATCCAGGTGACTTCCCCACACCCTCGATACCCGCCCTTTTCGATCACACCCCCTTTGGGGGGATTATTTCTCTTTGCGGGGGGCGGCGGGCTTAGAC